GAGTTCAATACCTGGTTCCGCAAAAAAAAAAAAAAGATTACAAGTATTAAAAAAAATTATGAGGGCCAGGGAGATGGCTCAGTGGAATAAGTGCTTCCCTGGCAAGCGCAAGGACCTGAGTTCAATCCCCGGTTCCGGGGGAGAGGGGGAAATTACGAGTATAATAGCTGAAAAAATTAATTAAAAAAAAAAAGTATAGTAGCTGGGGCCGGCAACATAACTCAGTGGACTAAAGCGCCTGCTTAGGTAACTTTGGGCAAGCGTAGGGACCATGGTTTAATCCCGGCACCACTTGCCCCACCAGCCCCGCCCTCAAGGGTGGGCTGAGCCAGCCAGAGTCCAGGTAGTGATGCAAACCTGTAATCCCAGCACTGGGAAGGCTGAAAACAGGACGATCACTATGAGTTTGAGCTGCTTAGTGAGACCCTGTACCAACCAAATACATTAAAACAAACAAGTATAGTTACTGAGTTAACAATTTTTTGGTTTTGGTCTTTTTGAGACAGGATCTCACTATGCAGCTCAAGCTGGCCTTGCACTTACTTTGTAGGCCAGAGAGATCTGGAGCTCCCAACAATCCACCTGCCTGAGCCTCGCTCCCCCCGTCCCCCCAGTGCTGGGATTACAGGCGATTACAGGCATGTGCCACCACACCATTGCTTAGGTAACCTTGAGCCAATGGGTGAGGCGAGACAAGACTAGGTGAACCAATAAGATCACAAAGATGCGTCTCAGATTGCCTTCAGGGCAGGTCTGGTTGGTGCAAGTTGTGGGGATTGAACCACAGCATCGTAGCCTGACTGTTGTGTTTAAGCAGGCACTTAAACAACTGAGCTAATGGGCAGCCCCCCCCAGGTAATATTAACTAATATTAACTAAATGGGGGTCAAAGAGGGAAGCAAGTCCCAAGCAAATGCAGGCAGGAGGAACAAGGACTTTCCTGGAAGGGGTGGGTTAAGGTCAACCCAAGGTAATGGACGGCTCAGCATATCAATCCCTGCTGTTCAGCCCAGGAAAACTACACTAGTCTTTGTCCCGAGGCCTGATCTTCAAAGAGTGTGCCTCCACACTTAGCTATCTTCTGTGCTGACCTCTTGAGGCCCAACCCTGTCTGACTGCCTACGATATTACTATTTTTTTTAAATTTTTTATTTATTTATTTATTTATTTGTGTGTGTGTGTGTGTGTGTGTGTGTGTGTGTGTGTGTGTGTGTGTCCAGCTCAGCCCACCAGGGGGCGGGGCTGGCTGGCATGTGGTGCTGGGGGATCGAACCACTGTCCCTGTGCTTTGCCAAGCCTGTTCCAAGTAGGTGCCCTAGACCACTGAGCCATCTCACCAGCCTGTTTTTGCCTTTTGAGACAGGGTCTCACTAGGCTGGTCTTGAACTCACTGTGTAGCCCAGGTTAGCCTCAAATTCAGTGATCCTCCTCCCTTAGCCTCCAGAGTGCAGACATGACAGGCATGGGCCACTTGCCTTTTTTTTTTTTTTTTTTTTTAAATACTCTAACAGCAACTGCCCATATTTTGTGAATTCCAGAATGAGATACAAGGACTGGGGAGATAGCTCAGAATAAGTGTTTACCTGGCAAGCACAAGGTCCTGAGTTCAATCCCCAGTACCACAATACATAAACAAACAAACAAATAAATAGAATGAGATACAGGTAACAGTTAAGATTTACAATTTTTTTTTTTTTTTTCCGGAACTAGGGATTGAGCTCAGGCCCTTGCGCTTGCCAGGGAAGCGCTTATTCCACTGAGCCATCTCCCCGGCCCAAAATTTACAATCTTACTTGGATACAGGAAGAGCTTCTTCGGTCAGTGCAGTGAACAGCCCTGCACCTCTGAGGGCCAGGGCCTTGGCCAGCTCAGCCTGGCATGGAGAGAGCTGAGCACCACCTGCTCCTTGCTGCCCCAGACTCTCACCAGTGCGGTGCTACACTGGCAGCAGGCATGCAGGGGCTGCGGCCCAGCGGGAGACTGCGGGACCGCTGTGCTGGGAAGCGCTAGGGCCAGGCTAATCCTCCCTCATGCAGGCGATGCCCTAATAACCTCAGAAAGGGACCCGACTTGGAGTCTGAGGAAATACATGGCTAGCTAGGTAAGGCCACACCAGAGCAGGGTGGGCCTCTCATCTGATGAGGGGTCTTATAAAAGGGGGACGCTTGGAGACACATATCAATGGACAATACCACACCATGGTAAATGCAGACATGTGAGGATGAATCTGCAAGACAAGTCTACGTAGTCCAGGCGGATCTTGAACTCACAGGCAATCCTCACGTCCTGGCCTACTAAGTGCTGGGATCATATGTGTGTATTAGCACACCGGGCACTTTTTTTTTTTTTTTTAATGTATTTTCTGGGGAAAGAACACAGTACTGAGGACTGACCTCAGGGCCTTGTGCATGCTAGGCAAGCTCTCTAACACCAAGCAATATCACCAGCCCAAAAGTTCCTTTTTAAAGACAGCTCTTAAGGGGCCGGGGAGATGGCTCAGTAGAATAAGCGCTTGCCCGGGCAGGATTTGAACTTTTACTCTTCCAGTCTCCAAAGGTCCTGGGTTTACAGGCATGTACCCTGGGCCTGGCTTTAAGGCCAGTTACAGAACAAGCCTGAGAGTAAAGCGGATTCCCACACCAGGCACCCAGACCCTGTGCTAGGGTATTAACAATCCCACACGAGCGTAATGTCTTATTGCACCAGTTTCTCCACATACTTCAAAGTCCACCATTTTCCCGTGCCCAGACCTGCTCCCAGACTCAAGTCATGCATCTCCAGGCTCCTCTGAGGGTGGTGGCTTCTTTGATGGGCCTTGCTCTGACTGGCTGTTCTGTCCAGTTAGATGCTCTGCTCCTTGCCTCCTTGATGTTTTTCACACAAGACTCAGGTGAGGGACGCAGGAGATCACAGAAGCAAAGGACCACTTGTCATCCCATCCGTGGGTTGTAGCGGGCTCTGCATGCCAGAGGAACGAGGTGGAGGGCAGGGGACCCTCGATGCCCATCTTGGCTTGAAGGAGATGCAGAGGGGACGCAGCCACAAGGTGACAGCTCACATGGCACCACACGCCATGCACCAGGTGCTGGGAGAAGCACCTGACTTACTGTCCCCATAAACTGCAGGTGGGCAGTCACTGCGCTCACCTTATGGACGA